ATATTTTAATATATTATATCTAATTTTTAGAGACCTAATTCAATTTGGATACAACTAGAGTTTGATAAAACAAACTCAAGACTCAACCCTATATATACATATATATATATATATATATGTGTGTGTGTGTGTGTGTGGCTTTGTTATGTTCATCCGAAGCAGAGGAGAGCGGCAGCAGCAAATTTGTTTCGGCAACTGTGCTTAGTGTATAACTCAACTTGGTGGGTTTCAATTGGGATTGATTGTTGCTCTGGGTTTGACTTGGTCAATCAAGAATTGGTGCCTTGGTTTGTTGCTCTACTTTGAAGCGGCTGATTCGGTGTTCAATGGTGATTTGGTTCGTTATTTTGGGTCTTCTATAACTTTGTTTCTGAAGATTTTGATTCATCTATTTGGTGAGGTCTTTCGTCTTGTTTCTTTTTAATTATTTAGAATTTACCTAAGGGTGGTTTTGTGAGACTATTAGTGTCTCGTTTGTAATCGTTTGAAACTTATTTGGTTGATAGTGGAATCGGATTTCGATCCCGTGGACGTACCTCACATTGAGGGAACCACGTAAAAATTCTTGTGTTGCTTTTGATTTAATTTTTCCACATTAGTTTTTATTCCCATTGATTGATTTACTTGTGAAGAATCATAGATTTTTCCTAACAAACGAAACTTGGATAAAAATTGAAGAGTGAAAAGTATTATTTATCCTAATTTGATTCCATTTTTTTTTTTTCTCTCAATCATAATTTATTCTTATAATCCAATAAAATCAACGAATCAAATAATCAAATTTAGACTTTATAATATGCTAATAACTCCACTACACTAAAAAAATAAATTCCTAATTAAGTAATTGATTATATGAAGTTTCAAAGAGAGAACAGAGTAGAGCTTACCTTGGGTTAACAGTGGGATCTCATTCAAAAACCCATCAAATTCTTCCAAAGAATTCCAATTCAGATATGCATCTCTCACCAAACTCTCAATATAAGCCTGAAATATATTTTCAAAACCATCCACATATATTAACATACTTAATATTAAATATATATATATTTATTATAATGAGAGAGAAGGAAAAAAAAAAAGATCATACCCTGTTCATGGTAGTAATGGAATCTCGAATAGGGTATGTTTGGCCATTAATCTCAGCCATAACAACTTGACATATTGGATTCAAGATGATGGTGTGGTTGGCTCCACGAGATAGATGTAATCTGTTGCCCATAAGACAGGTTCTTGCATGCTTTATAGTTACTTCTCACATTTCTCTGACAACTCAAGTCCTAGAATCTGTTTGGAAGAATAAAAAGTTTTATTTTAAGCAGTTAATACAATTCTTACTTATATATAGACGTATCAAACTAAAATTTGAGTAAAAAGACATCAAAATTGGCTTCACTCTGCTCAAATTTATGTCAATTGAGTTTTATTTAAAATTTTCCTCAAATCAATATGTCTAATCCAAACTTGACATTTGTGTAATTTTGCTCAAATTTGAGTTTATTCATTTAACTGTTTTTATATCAAATGAAATTTTTTTACTTCAAATTCTAAAAATAGATGGATTTAAAAATATAAATAATCAAGTTATCTATATATCTTTCTAGAAGTCAGCTTCTCTCCAGTAGATAGATTGGCCTCTCCCATTTGGCTACAAGGCCTTTCATGTAATTTATTTTGATAATTAATTTTATTCATATTTTTAAACAAATGTGTGTAGATCATTAAAAATAATTAAAAAATTTATATGACAATTATGCTATTGAAAATAAATTATCCAACAAATATGATTAAATGACTATACTATTGGATTAATATGATCTAACTATATTATAAGCCCAAAACATGAACGAAAATTATTTTTAAAATAGACCGCATGATGGTCCCCCATGCCTTGATTGCATAGTTCTATCTATTCATAGGACTGAATGGGATCCATATTTTTGTCTCTAATAATTTATGTTTTAAGATAAATTAGAGATCAAGAATTTGAGAATAAGCATTTACCTTTCTAAGTTTGGTTTGATCAACAACAGAGAGCTTCAAGAAGTCTTGGACAGAGTTAATGGCCATGGAGGCTAGCTTCTTATGAAAAGCTCCATCTTTTCCAATCTTCTCAAGTCTCCACACCTCGTCATCTTTATAGTCCAATCTTATAAGCCCAAAACATGAACAAAAATTATTTTTAAAATAGAGTTAATCACACAAATAATTCTTACAATATAAGATCTGTTACACTTGAGTTTATATTTTTTAATTTGATAATTAAAATATGAGATCTGCTACATTTTAATCCATGGCGTTAGGGCTATTCGAAATCAATAATAAGGATTTTTTTTTTCTTTTTTTGGGAATATTACATCAAGCCTAAACAAAACTAATTACATATACAGTCCCGAAGTATGAATTTATTATATTTTTGGCCCCCAAGATATGCACTTTATTTTATTTTGGTCTCCAAAATATGCGTTTTGTTGCAATTTCACCCCTAATATTTTAATAAAGTTTGTTTTTTTTTTTTTTGGTGGTAAAGTTTTAAAAATATCACTCTCATTGTTGATTTAAGACAGAGTTGGTGCAATGAATTAAAATATAACAGATTACTTTCTTCGGGTACCAGAGTGAAAAAATAAATTCGAGACTAAAGTGTAACAAATCCTATACTTTAAGAATCTAATTAGTTCATCAACTTATCTAACAAATTATACTATCAAAGTAAGAGATAACTTTGTTATTTATTTGTAACAATCTATTTCATTTTCAGTGAATTAATACTATCATTTTCGTGGGTCATAAAGCAATTATGTAAATATCTCAAAATCCTTTAGTCTAGGAACTGCATTGTATGTAGTCAAAGCTAAAAGTATGTGTGTCGTACGTACCCCCCTTTCTAGAACACGACAATAGTGAAGAGTTTAGTCTATAGTCAAGTAGCCATAGAAAATTAGAAAGTGATCTTGACAATATTTTTTGAAAAAAATGTTCTTTTTTTTTTTGTGGGGGGGGGGGATCAAATTGTAATAGTTATTAATTACATATAATTGGCTATGAGAAGACTAAATATTTAAATCTAAAGAGTTAGTTAAATTGTGTGATAAAAAGGTATGCCAATCAAATTTCATAAAGTGTTAGTTTGTTCTCGATAATTACTCAATATGTATAAGATGAAAAATAATATATACCTAATGTGCTCATGATAGAAAGTTACCAACTTACTAATAAGAGTGACGTCTATAATTTTGGGGTTGTTTTGATCGAGCTTACATCGTCTAAGCCAGCTATGGATATTACAAGGCATCGCCATGAAATTAATTTGTCTAATATGGTGATTAATAAGTTTCAAAATCATGAACTTCATGAGCTTGTTGACCTGTGTCTTGGGTTTAACTCGAATTATAAGGTGATGGAGATGAACAAGGTGGTTACTGAGCTGGCGTTTCAGTGTTTGCAGAATGAGAGCGATACAAGGCCATCGATGAAAGAAGTGTTGGAGGTTTTGAAGGAAATCAGCAGTGTGGGTTATGATAGGAAGGTTGAGGACGAGATGGATATACCTGCAGATGATGTTGTGTTGTTAAGTGATCCACTAGTGCTTTCGCCTAATTCTTTGAGGTAAAATTGGGTTAGCAGGGGAAGTACCACATCTAATGCTAGTAGTAGCTAAGTTAATGTATCATTTTAATGCATTCAAGATCCATTTTATAATAAATTTTGGGTGTAATGCCATCTTGTTTCCATCATGAATATGAAAGTTACTTTGAATTATATTAATGCCTTTTTATATAGTGATAAAATCATTCATTGTATAAATCGATTAAATTTTTATTTTTATTTTGTTCTATTCATTGTTTCATTGTTATTATTTGTTCTTAAAACTAGGCAATGAACCACACCCAATTTCCTGGTCTTAAATTGTCATGTTGATAAATTTGTGTCGATGGAGAGAATTTTTTCACAAAGCAGATGGGAAAATGAAAAAATTATTGGGAAAAATGTTAAAACAAAAACTAGACCATATATGTGATAATGTCATGATATTTGCTTTCATTTTCATGGTCTACCAATGATAATGTCATAACATAATCGAAGAATTTATTGGGTGTTCTCGGATCAACACGTGCACGTGTTGTAGGAATACCACAATACAATATTAAGGTCACATGACATTCCAAGTACATCCAATGATTTCTTGTTATAATGAGCCAGAGATATGGGAAATGTGATCATGGATAAATTTCATCATAGGGAACTAGATGAAAAACAATCTGCTGCTAAAAATGTTGCATATGAAGTTAATGCTTTATTATCGTTATTATTGTCCTTTTCCCAGATTTTTTGATGTCACACTGTGCTAATGCTAATCTCATTTCTAGCCAATCATGTTAGAGGTGCTTTTTCCATTAAAGAAACAAAAAAAAGGGAGAAAGATATCCTATTTTGGGCTCAATATGTTATGCATAGAAATGGGAGAATCATATCAATGTGGCAGAGATATTAGTCTAATTTTTGTAGACTATGGGATAATGAGATTAGACTAATTTTTGTTCATTCCCGAATTCATGATAGCAAAAAACAATTTGCCATACCTTTTTTTTTTTTGATAGCTCAGTATCCAGCCTAATGGACCAACTAATCCGGGGACCAATCTTACAGTCTATTAGCATTCTCCATACCTTATAATAGAAGAATTCGAAGTTTTGTTCATGAAAAGAATTCTAATTTTTGTTCAAATTGATTTATTGCAGCTTGTGTAATAGAAGAGAAAAAGGGTAACAAGAAAAAGAAAAGGGAAGGAAATTTACAACCACAATAGACATTTTTTTTACTAGAAAAAAATTTAGGGCAGCAATTCATAGTGAAAAATCAAAGGTATACTTGGACAACAATTAACATAGCAACTTCAAACAAAATTTCACTACTTTGAGGGTCTTGAGGAATCTACTTCACATGATATTATTCTACATAAGCTTTGCAGTCCATGATGTATTTAACCTAGAAAAACATCATTACATTGATTCAACCTCACAGAATTCATTCTCTTTTGATATTTGAATAGTAGAAGATGTGATTGGTTTTCTTGAAGGTAAAGATAAGAATGGTTCTGGGGGAACTTGCAAAGATTCTAGATTTCCTTCAAGCATCTCAATCACCTTGTTAATTGCCAGTCTCTCTGATGGATTAGCTTGTATGCAACATAACCCAATTAATATCATCTTCCGTGCAACTTTTTCATCCTCTTCAGATTCAATCCCATGAAGTCCTATATCTCCATCATATTTTAGCTTCTTGTAAATCGAATGTGGGAAATATAAGTTGCTAGTGTCCTCAATTGATTGTCCAATCTTTTCCCTTCCTTGAACCATCTCTAGGACTAGCATTTCGTAGCTATACACATCAGCCTTGTGTGAGACTCTTCCAAAATGCCTAGAGAAGACTTCAAGCGCTATATATCCAATAGTTCCTCGAGCAAGGAACATGGATATAATGCTATCTTTCTTGGGACATAATTTAGCTAGCCTAAAATCTGAAATCTTTGGACAAAAATCTTCATCTAGAAGAATGTTATGGGGTTTTATTTCAAAATAAAAAATGCGTGTTGTACATCCATGATACAAGTATTCCAATCCCCAAGCAACCCCTACTGCAATTTTATAATGATCCCAGTTTTGACCCAACACTTGTGGTAGTCCGGACTCGGGTTTAGTGTTTCTGTATGTCGTTTATTGTCTTTTGCTCTTTATTCCTTCTTAAATTTGGTTATTTGAATGTTCGAGTGTGTTTGGAACAGGTTGGTTGCTTGGTTTTCAAACCTTGCGTTGCCCAGAATTTTGGTCCTCCGCTCGACCGACCTTTCTTGCCCTCGAGCGGGATTTGCAAACTCTCAGTACTTTGTTCTTTTGCAAAAGCACTGGGGGGTGTTTTCCACACTTGAGCGGCGTTTCCTACACTCGAGCAGGTGGGCGCTCGAGTGGCCTTTCTTGCGCTCGAGCGGTTTGTCTGTCATCTGCAATAGTATTGGATGTGTGTATTCTGCACTTGAGCTGATCAACTCTTGCGCTCGAGCGAAACAACTTATTGTGTCTGACGCTCGGGTGTCAACTCTCACGTTCGAGCGGACTGTGCGTATATCAGATCGCGAAAATGACTTTTTACATCACTTTTTTAGATCTTTTTTTTCCAAAAACCCTAAAGTGAGACTCTCTCTCTCTCTCTCTCTCTCTAAAATACACTCTCTCTCTACATTTTCTCCTAGATCCGTTGAACTCTTCAACTTAGTGTCTTTGGAAAAAGAGTAGAGCATCTTGAGAGCTTCATTTTGATTCGATTGGAGTTTGGTTTCGGCGTCGTTGGAGTTTCGTGCATGCTCCATTGGTCTTTTAAACTTGAGGTAGGGACTCTCTACACCTTAATATGGGTTTTAACTTGGTTATGGGTTGTTATATGAAAATGATGAGAATTGGGGGTATTTTGAGCAAACCTGGGGTTTGGGTTCAAGTTTGAAAAGAGGAGTTTTTATATGGGTGTTATATAAATGATTATGGAATTTAGATATAAGATTATTTTGTGTTAAAATAGATGATTTTGGCCCTTGGGTTAATATTTGGAAAATGGGGAGCTTGCTTTAAAATATATTGAATAATTGTTTTGTATAAATAATAAAATTGGTATGAAAAATGCGAAATTAGGAGGTTGTGTACATGAAAGGTGTTGCTGGATTTGCTTAATCACTCACCTATGGAAAATTTAAGGATTTATCTGTCATAGAAATTGTATATCTATTTAGAGATAACTATTTTGGGTTATTGGTGGAGGATAGTCATGATTGTTGTAGACATTGCATGTGGATTAGGCAAATTGAAACTAATCCTTTAACCATTATCATTGAATATGATTATGAATGATATACATTGTGTATGTATGATATTTAGGAGGAGAAAGGGGATGTACTCCATGTTTTGAGGAGAAAAGAGGGGATGGACTCTGTTGAACTAAGTTGGCCTGTGTGTCTAGGGTGAAAGCCCCGAAAATCATGTGTATACATGGGTGCCTATTCCCACGAACGAAATTTTCCTAAAATGGCAAATAGAAGTGAATATATTGTGTGATGATTCTAATTTGTTGGAAACCTGTGAGGTGTATTCCCTGTTGGGTGAATTAAATGCAGTGGATGTATCTATTGAACCAAAATGAATGAATATAATGGTTTTTGGAGAAAGTTATAAAGATTTTGTTGTAGGGCAATGAAAATGTGCATCATACTTATATCTTGTTAATTCTCATATACTGTGTTAGATTGTTTTTACTGGGCTTTGGCTCACCCTACTTTGGGAAACCATTTCTAGGTACCGATGACATGCCTCCTCTAAGGACGTAGCTTGGGTGGACCTTGGAGACGAAGGCGATTTTTTTGTTATTTTGTATTTAATGTTCGTTCAAGCCTAGGGCTTTATATGTACAGATCTTATGACTCTCTTTTGTTGTAACCAAGCAATGATTTGGAAAGATGTAAGCCCGTAGGGCATTTATTTTGTTGAGCATTAACTGGTATTACATGCTATAGATTTAGGATGTACATTCATGAATATATATTGCATGTGTTATCTTTTGTAATACGAACTCTGATGAATGAAAGCATATCATTTCTGTTATCACTTCTCTTATGAGTGGGATTTATAGTATTATTTTGGAGGTGTTACAACTTGGTATCAGAGCGTACCGAATTTGAATACTTTGAGTACGTGGGAAGTGGTTAGAACCATAATGGGTTTGTCTCGCTTGTTAGAGACTTAAGTATGGACAACATGTGCTTATATGATAACATGCTTATGTGATTATATGGGTATGAGATTGAATTTTTAGGATGTTGATTGAGTCCACGGGTTCTTAGAAGTCCTGTTAGAAGAGCACTTGATCACTGTTGTTTCTAATTGGAACTTTGGCAACGCCGCGAGATGGTCATTATCAGGAAACGAAATTCGTATGTATTTATGTGAATACGTGCTCATGTGGAGTGAATTAATGTTGTCCATTGTATTAGGACGTGAGTAAGTTAGCTTTGGCACATCTGTAAATGTGCTAATTTCTTTTCTTACCTTTATTAGGATCTCAGGACGTGGACGTGGACGTGGTAGGCCTAGACGGCAGGAGATGCCGGTATCAGATGATATTCCGACACAGGAGGAGGGTGTTGGTCAGGACAACGTGGCCGAACCAGTTGGTCAGTAGGCCATGGGTGCCTTAGCCCACGAAATGGCCGGAGCTTTGAGGGAATCTATGGACATTCTCAAGGTTGAGAATCAAGTCCAGACCCAAGTAACTGAGGTAGGGCCATCTTTTCTGAAGTGGGAGTTCTTCTGGTCAAATCCGGATGAGTTTTTGGGGGATCCTAAAGAGCCACTGAAAGCGGACGAGTGGCTAGAGCAGATGGTGAAGACGTTTGAGATGCTCGGCATCGAAGACGAAGATTTGTTAGTAACCTTGGCGTCCTTCTAGTTAAAGGGAGATGTGGGTCAATGGTGGAAGTATGCACGGGGGCGCATTGGAGGGACATGGGAGGCCTTCGTCAACCCCTTCCAAGAAATGTTTTTGCCTTCCACAGTTAGGGAAAAGTTGAGAGATTAGTTCTCTAAGTTGGTGTAGTTGAACAAACTAGTGCCCGAGTTTGAGGCCACCTTCACCAGCTTGTCTAGGTTTGCACTCGAGCTAGTGGTGACTGAGGAACACTGTTACTTGGAGTTTAAGTAGAGGTTGAGGACTAGGCTAATGTTTAAGGTGGCCGGTTCGATGATTAGGGATAACAGACGCCTTGTGGAGGCGGCGGCTCATCTAGAGAATGTGATACAGTTAGAAGAGGAGAGAATGATGAGCTCTAGGAGAAGTCAGGATACCCAAGGGGATAGTAAGAGGTAGAGAGGTTCTAATCCCTAGCAGTCCCAGGGAGTGCAGTCGAGGTCTATCTTTCCAATACTGAGTTCGGGTTCTGAGAGAGGTGGTTAGGGGGATTTCATTTGTTTTAAGTGTGGTCAGTTAGGCCACAAGTCCCTGGCTTGCTCGCAGAGAGTGGGAGGACAACGATCTGTACACTCTTCAGCTCGTTCTCAGAACTAGAGTTAGGGGAGAGGCCAGTTGCTTACTTGCTATCAGTGTGGGCAGGCGAGGCACATGAAGAGGTTTTATCCACAGTTGGGTGGCATTCTTGGTGCATCTGGTTTGAAGCAGACAAAGAGCCACTAGCCAGCACAGTCAACACAGGCCTTGAGGGCCAATCAGGGAGCCTCTTCGGCTCAGTCAGTGCATCAGTCCTATGCTATGAGGGTTGAGCAGGTAGATTAGAGGCCTACAGGGTGTGTGTATGCTGTTACCGCGCCAGATCTAGTACGAGCGCATTTTGTTGTGAGAGGTACTTTCTTGTTTTCCAATTCAGTTGCCAATGTTTGGTTGATATGGGTGCATCCCATTCATTTATTTCGTCTGCATTTGTATTGGTTTTGGGGTTAGAGTTGGCTCAGTTACTATCTCCTATTTGTGTGGTGTCACCTATTGGGGGTGAGATGGTTCTGAAGCAAGGGTGTCGGGGTTGTGATATAGAGGTTGCCGATTGTCGACTTCCCTTTTCATTTGTATTGATTGATATGTCTTGTTTCGATATTAGATTGGGTATGGACTGGTTGTCTTCATATCGGGCTGTTTTAGATTGCTACCGTCAGAGAGTTACTGTATGTACCTTGAACGGGGATTGTTTTCATTTCTTAGGGGACCGGGTTGGTAGAGTCTTATCACCGGTGTATGATCTGCATGGGCGGAGTGAACATAGTTTTCTTCTTGCTAGCTTCCTGAATAGTGAATGTGATGAAGACCGAGTTGAGTTGCCAAGGGTTGTTTGTGAATACCCCGATGTCTTTCCCGAAGATCTCATTAGTTTGCCACCTCATCGAGAGATTGAGTTCTTTATTGACTTAGTGCTTAGTACGACACTAATTTCTATGGTACCATATAGGTTTGCTCCCACCTGCTGAATTGAGTGAGTTGAAGGTTCAACTCCAGGAATTGTTAGATAAGGGTTTCATCGGCCTTACTATTTCACCTTGGGGAGCACCGACTTTCTTTACTAAAAAGAAAGATTGAGTGTTGCGACTTTGTATTAATTATCGGAAGTTGAACTGGGTAACTGTTAAGAATAAGTACCCAATGCCTCATGTAGATGATTTGTTTGATCAGTTGAAGCGGTCTTATTGTTTCTCTAAGATAAACTTGAGATTGGGTTATCATCAGTTAAGAGTGAGGGAGAAGGACATCCCAAAGACGGTATTCCATCTGTGGTATGGCCATTACGAGTTCCTAGTGATGCCTTTTGGGCTGACTAATGCACTAGCCGTGTTTATGGATTTGATGAACCAGATTTTTTATGAGTTCCTGGACCGTTTTGTAGTCGTCTTTGTGGACGACATCCTGATCTACTCACCCTTTGAGGAGGAAT